TTGAGGAAGGTTTTGGATTAGGGTTCTTGAGAGAACTTGAGAGAAAATGTGTCTAAGTATGGGAGAGGTGTTTTGGGAAATGTTTTAGAGATGGGAATTGAACTAATGGTATATAGGAAATAACATATGCCCTTTGGAAAAATGGTCCAACACTTAGAAAAAAAATTCGGCGGGTAAATAGTAAAAACGCTCACTGGAAATTGCCTTTTCTTCCGGACAGATTTTACGAAAAGGGGCATAACTTCTTCGTCCGAACTCCGAATGAGGTGAAACGAAGTGCGTTAGGTAGCTAACTCAAAGAGCTTTCCATGGATATGTTATTGGCCACCCAATAATTTGTGTGCTAGGAGATATGACCCTCCAAAGTAGACCCTCGAAAAAGGCTTCACTTGGAAATTTTGGATTTTGATACAGTTGCTCTAAAATTTGGGTTAGACCCATTTCCCACTCAATTTGACCCCCTAAACAAGAATATGAAGTCGGATTTTCGAAAAACGAAATGGAGTTTTTTATATATAGCTAAACAAGTTTCCGGTAACTTCCGAAACACATTTTTAAGAACTTTTTGGGTCATTTCAGAAATACCTCACCCCACCCAACAAAAATAAGCAGTTGTCCTCAAATGCAACTAAAACAATAGAATAGTCAATAAAACAACAGAGAGGGAGGTAAAAAGTCATCTTGCCAAGATAAGCCTAGGTGAAGTCTGCATCTCAGTCACTCCATCTGTCTGGGCAGCAGTGCCCAATGTCACACTCTCAGGTTGGGGACTAGTGCTCGGTATCTCATTAGCCTTTGCTCCACTGGAGCCTACCATGGTCGTAACCTTCAATAAGGTCTGAACAGCTGAATCTACCATAGCCTCCTCCAAGTCAGTCAGTCCCTCAAAAATAGTCCCCTCCTGAACACCTAGTTGCTCCTCATCAATCTCATCCTCGGACTCAACAGCCACATCATCAGCTCTAATCTCATTTCCGGTGGTAGCTGGAGGCATTTCAGAATGAGCTGGAATATTTGTGCTCGGGTCATCAGGGATCTCCACCGTCCCAAAAATCAGTGACATATCACTAGACTTCAGCTGGTCCACATCTTCCCTCAACTCAGCAATCGCGGCCTTTAAGGCCGTCACCTCATGAGTAGCTCCCTGGCCTCTCTTACACACCTTTATCCTTGTTGTGAGGGCATCAATAGAAGCAGAGCTAGACTTAACTCGCCAAATGGCCCAACGTGCCAGTTTTCAACCCTATTTCTCAAAATCAAGCCTGCAACCCCCGAATTCAAAATTAAACACATACACCCTCAAATTAAGGCTAGACCCATACTACCCATGCCCTTGGGGTACTCAAACTTCTCCTGATTTGGCCAAAATTGGCCATTTGACGACTTATGCCCTTAAGAATGACATCAAACGCTCCATCATTAGGCAAATTACGTCATTTAGCACAATTCAGGATTACTTAGACTTCATCCCACTATACCCAACACATTAACACCGCAACCCAATAATTTAGACTCGATTTTACAAGCAAGAACACGAAAATCATTCAATTTAAAGCACTTTGGCACACATTTCAATTCATTACAGGCTAACCAACACTTAAACACGATTATAACAATTACCCAACACAAACAACAACAAAGTTACTTATTGCATTTGATTTCAACAATAAATTTCAAGTACATGGTTTGGAAAACCAACCTTTATGTCGAATTTTAATTTTGAATAGCTAGGCGGCAAAGTTCCACAATTTTGAGCAATGATTTCACACAAAAAATGTGTAAGAACAAGGAAATAAGCAAAACCTAAAGTTGGGTGAGGGTACGAGAGTTAAAAATGAGAGAAGATGAAGGATTTTGAAATTTTAAATAGTTTCGCCTTTAAAACCTTTCAGTTAGCGGCACCTTCGGCGGAGTAAGTCGTGCTTGCCGAACCACTCGGCGATGCGTTGAGTGGTATTTTACCTCACCGAGTTTTATAGGACTCCCACCAATTTAGGGGTTCAAACGGCGGACAAAATTAGGCTCGTCGACCTGTTCAGCGAGTCACCGATTGAGCATATAGCCCGTCGAGTTTTACAGAGTTCCCCTTCAAGCTTGGTGGTTCCAACAGCGGTCCAAGTTGGGGATCGCCGACCTGTTCAGCGTGTCGCCGACTGGACTTTGGCTTGCCAAACTAGTCATTCTCCAACACTCTTCACTTTTCAACCTGCACAATCAACACCCGTTATTTAAAATCAAACACTAAAGCATTAAAAACTTGGGTTGCCTCCCAAGAAGTGCCTTAGTTAATGTCGTGGCACGACGAAAGTACCCTTTCAAGGATCATTCTTCGGGTTCGCCAAGGTATCACTTGGCAAGCCTCTTTTTGGCCTTGGGTTCAAATGAGAAGAAATTTGATCCATTTTGGTCTCCAACTGCTTGATTGACACGGAATGGGAGGTGACCGTCTAAGTGTAGAGACATCATCATTCATCTCATTTAACACTTTGTCTGACCCTTTAACTTTATTGAAAATACATGAGAGCATGTCTTCTGTACAGACATTTTCAGACTCATTGGGTTTGTCGCTCATGAGGTGGGACGTACTTGTCATTGTCACTCTCTCTTTCCTTCCAAGTGGCATTATGATCAGCCATTCTCTGTCACAGTCTCTTCATCCCTCGTCTCTATTCCAACCCAGATTTCCACCCGGCCTTGGATAGTTTGCACGATAACCTCCTCCTTGATTAGCTAAGAAGTTCACTTTCTCATTGTACAATGCTTCAAACTAAGCTTCTTCGGGGATTACTCCACCAACACCCACGACATGCATTAACACTCTTCAACCACTAACCATAACATTTTTCGCCAATAGATCCAGTTTGGTCATCATTTTGGCCATGTTTTGGTCTCTCTCTTGATCCTCTTCGATCTGCTCTTTTGTCATTCTAAATATGAGAGATACTTGGTCTTCATGAGTGTACTATGCCCTATTGATCTTGGTCATACCATCAAGGAGCTGAGACGCTACTTCATAGAGTTGTTGTATTATACCACCGGGAACAAGTTGATCAGCAACTCCTTTGTTCACCGAGTCAATGCTCCTACAGAAGTACTGCTGCAATATATGATTTGGCAGCCCAAGGGTTGGGCATTGAAGTACCAACTTCTTAAACCTCAGTCACGTTTCATGGATAGGTTCACCTTCCAAGCACTTGAAACCTTGGATACTATCCCTAAGGGTCATCATTCTTGATGGGGAAAAGAATCTCACATGGAATGTTGTAGTAAGCTTATTCCAAGAGGTGATGGAATTTCTTCACAACTCAGCCAACTATTTACTAGCCTCACCCATCAAAAAGAATGGGAACAACCTGAGACGGACTGATTCTTGTGATACGTTCTTGAATGAGAACGGACCACAAACATCAACGAAGTTCCGAATATGCTCCTGTGGGTCTTCGTGAGCTAATCCTCCATATAATCCCTTCATTTGGAGGAGCTGTAGCATTGTGTTTGTAACATGGAAGATGGCATTCCCTTTAATTGGAGGTAGATGTATTGTACCCACACCACCCAATGGAATTGGGTCATTCACATTTGGGTCATTTACATCATTGAGGTCCCAATATCATCTTGGTGGCCCACTTGGCTACCATTACTCCCGTTTAGGCTCATCTCTTCCTCTATTCAACACAAGAAACACAAAACAAAAATTAAATCAAGTCGATTCAACTACAACCAAAAAGATCACAATTCAACTTCAATAAAAGAATTTCAAACAACACCACTCCCCGGCAGCGGCGCCATTTTGATTAACTTTTCAAGCACACCTCATCCAATTCTAGGTGCAAACGATCGTTAAGCAATATAAAACTCAACGAAGAGTTGGGGTCGAACCCACAGGGAGCGGTACATGTTCAAATTCAATTATGAAGTATAAATGTGGTCTAAATAGTTATAGGAATAGAAATTGTCGAGACATGTAAACAAGTCAAAGGGGGTGACAACAAATGTCAGATAGGGGGTTTGGGTTTACAATTATCAGCTATAACGCAATCAAACAACGATGAAATAACAATATAGAAAGGAATTCTCGAGATGTGATCGATTATAGGCAAATTTGATATATGGGTAATTGAAACTACTAATAAATAGCTAAATATTAGTGGGTAGGCTGGGCTATGAGTGAAATAGCTTTCTCTCGAACAACTACTTCGATTCAAGTGATTTCTCTCGAACATCAACAAGTTTAACAAATAAGAACAACCCACAACCTTAATACATCGTCTCTCTCGAGCAAGATGGGTAGTATTTGGCTTGGGATTCACTCTTTCGAGTTTAACCCACATTAATCCAATACCTACAAACCATTAATCAGAAGCTTTGGTTCAAAAACCTCTTTCTCTAGCAAGCTAAGAACTCAAAGTTAGAACTGCATTTGCAACTATAATTCATTGGTAAAAACATAGATAATGATTAAACCCACTTCAATATAGCATTTAAATTAGCAATAACCAATACCTATAAGCTAATTCAACCCATAATCACACCCCAAGAATTGGAGTTTTAGCCACACATCATAAAAACAGAGAAATGGTTACCAAATGCATTAGTCATGGTATGGGTAAGAGTCTCCAAGCCTTTACAATGATTTCCAAGGATAAAATTCAAAAACCCACTTTCCAAATCCTCCAAAATTGTACAATTCGAACTCAAAAATCTCGAGAAAACTCTAAGTCTAGAATGGGAACTGTAATATCTGGGAGAGAACTCTCCAAAATTACATTTAAAATCCAACTTATAGTTGCCTAAAATTTGGCCTAAAAAGCCAAATTAGGCGAGGTAAGTCAGGCTCGCCGAGTGGTTCGGCGATCCGCCCTTTGCTCTCTTCCATCGCCATTTTGCATTGGTTCTCAGCATTCTCAATTCCTGTAACTTTGGGCGATCCATTTTGTCATCGTGGAACCGATTGACGATTTGCCGACTACCCATTTTTGTTGCCGACTTGGTTTCTTCCTTCAGGGCTGACACACTGAAACTTTAGGCTGTCTAAAGAGCCACTCGGCGGTTTGCCGAGTGGTCTTGGCAATCCTGGCAATCACCAAGATTGCTTTTCTCCACTTCTTCAACTTGTTTTGTTCCTTTTTGCCTGTTAGTGTCCTTGTTTTGCTCCTTAGTCCACATACCTGAAAACCAAGGCTTTAACATCAGTTTATAGCATAAATTAAGTATTTGAGGACACCAAAACTATCAAAACAAAGCCCTACATGAGTCCAAATCTCGGATTCATCATGAACCATGCGCATGGGCTGGATGTTCTGAGATTAAGCTCTAGGCCCATTCACCCTCAAAATCATTTGGAGGACTTTGTGGTCCTAAAAGGCAAAGGACAATGGATATATATTGTCAATTCTTATACAAAGACGAGACTCAACACTGGCTAAGGAATATTCTGTAGTATATGTAGTAGTAGAGGTTGTACAAACAAGGCTATGTTTTATGCCAAGTCTTTTTTTCATTTCTAGGAAGAGGGTTCTGGAACTTGGCTTGTTTCTATTTTCTTTTCTTTGTTTATCCTTTCAATTTCAGCTTTCTTGTAAGTTTTGCTACAAGTTGCTATTAAATCAAACAATGGACACTTGCCGGAAATCTTATTTTATTTAAGTTTACACCAGAAGCCATAAAGATGTGTCACATCTTATCTATGTTTCTCCTTTTTATTATATTAGATATATATTTACCTTTAAGTAATACATATGTGTAATAATCACAATAATAACTTAAATGTGTATTCAACTTTTCGAGATAAGTTCATCATGGATTCTATGCCCATTTCCCATTTTGTTAACTTATGAAAAATTTAAACGACCAAAAATGTTAAATATACACTTAAGAGGTCGTTTGGTGTGAATGATAATAACATATAGCCTTGAGATTAAATTATAGTGGCACCTAGTTTGTTGTTTGATTGTCATGTTTGAAATAACTTATCCTGAGATTAATAATTATTACCGGGATAAGTTATTCCTCCCCTTGGGTGGTATAGTAATTTCAAGATAATTTATCTCGGGATAAAATAGGCAAGTGACAAAGTATCCCTTTAAACCCTATTTACACATCACTTTTGTCATTCATGTATATTTACATCATTTTTATAGCATTTATAATAACATTCACAACTCCTTATTTTTATGATGATTCTTCATATTTTTCTATTAAAAAATTACACTATATAAATATAATTTTTATTTATGAATTTATTTGACTCATTGTTATGTTTATTTATATTTTGATTTCTCATAAATCTTTTTTTACTTTAACAATCTTAAGATGGAAGTTCTATTTTTAAGTTGAATAAGAAGAAAATTTAATTTTTAAATACATACGATACCATCATGAGAATGCACATACAGAAATATTCAAGCTAAATAAGATGAAATCAAAATTTTATTCTTCAAAATGAAAAAAACTAAAGCATGCAAAGAAAATACAAATACTAAATAAAGTGAAAGAGTATTTTTGTAAACAATCAATATGTTCTTAAAATTTAGGATAAATTACCTATATACACACCTTTTTTCCCCATAATTCTCATTATTCCCTACCAGTTCTAAAATTTTCCAAAATCCCTTATTTTACTCCAAAACTCCCAATTGCTGGATACATAAATCCTAACTCCCAAAATCAACATTTATCCCTTCCTTATTTCACTCCACAAATCTCTCCTTATTTTTAGTCACAGAATCTTGATAGTTATTTTCTCATTCATGTTTGAAATTCAAAATCATTTTTTTTTTAAAAATAAAAAGATATTTATGAGTCTTTTACCTATTTTTAAAAATACTCCAAAATTTATAATAAAATAAAATAAGTGAACTTCAAATTTTCAACACTAAAACGTAAATTAGAAGAAAAAAAATAAGTAATAGTAGTAGTTATTATTTGGTAATAATCAATTTTTTTTCTCGTCTGTGAAACCCTAAACCTCGAAAAGGTTCAATGGCGACAATACCAGTTAATCTGAAGCTTTTTTTGATCAATTTGACTGGAAAGCCTGTGATGGTAAAGCTAAAGTGGGGATTAGAGTAGAAAGGGTATTTGGTCTCTGTGGATTCATACATGAACTTGCAGTTTGCTAATGGGCAACAATATAATACCTATCAATTTAAACGAGATACATAAATAGTAATGTATCATGCACTATTTTTTAGATATGTGAATTTATACTAAATGTATCAATTACATAGCAACTATCACACGGTAATGTATCGATCTCAAATCTAACATTCTAACATCTTATGGGAAATAATTACTTATTTAATGTATCTAGTATAAATACAGTATTATCAATTTAAACGAGATACACAAATAGTAATGTATCACGCACTAATTTTTTAGATATGATACGTAAATTTGAATTTATACTAAATGTATCAATTACATAGCAACTACCACATAGTAATGTATCGATCTCAAATCGAACATCTTATGGGAAATAATTATTTATTTAATGTATCTAGTATAAATACAAAACTTATTAATTTAAACATGTATCTAGGTGTTGCTATGTATCTTCTATCTTATTCAAATTTAGATATGTATTCAAATTTTGATACATAAACTTAATTAGCTTTGATACTTGATACAAAACTTCTACCAAAGGTATCATTTATCATGTATCTAGGTGTTGGTATGTATCCGTAAACAATACATGATACATTAAAGTGTCACACAAGTATGTATCAGATTCATAAATGGTGATACGTAAATGTTATTATCAAAAGTTTGTTTAGTTTGAGGCAAAATGTGAAGATCTTCCAGCTATGTATCTGATACAATAATTATGGAGCGCATTAATACATCTATTAAATCATGTATTAGATACACAACATAATGAATCATGTACATAACATTCTGTCTTTTAAACAGTGCTAATATCAAATACAACGTTTTATCAAACACAATTGTACAAATTATGTGTTAGATGCACAATTTTATGGAACACAATATTACATACTAAATCATATAATTGATACATGGTATAATGTATCGGATACACAATATTTTATTCTTGCATGAACAAATACATATTTTTTTAGACATGATACGTAAATTCGAATTTATACTAATTGTATCTAATACGTAGCAACTACCACAAAGTAATGTATCGATCTCAAACCTAACATCTTATGGACAACAATTACTTATTTAATGTATCTAGTAGAAATACAACACTTATCAATTTAAACGAGATACATAAATAATAATGTATTGATTGTTTATTTATGTATCTTGTTTAAAAGTTTGCCTCATGTCTTTCACGGTAAAACGACCCAATGTTGGGTACTCAGCAAATGTCTCAACAACCATAGGCTTGGTGGGAATCAACTTAACCATACCAGCATCACCATTCTTTAAGAACTTCGCTTCCTTCTCGAGTTCCTTACCTAAACACTTGTTAATGTTGTTCAAGATCTCAGCAAACTTTACAGCAATGTGGGACGTGTGGCAGTCGAGCACTAGTGAATATCCAATTCCAATATGACTAGGATAATTCATGATGATGACCTGAGCACCTGTCAATGATCCCCTTTTAATTACTTAATTTTCAATGGAGATGAGTTATTACTTTCGACGATGTATTTGATTTTCAAGATTTACCTAATCTCATCTATCTCCAACTCGATTGAAATGGCGGCTTTGAGATTCATAAATGAAATCGATTGTCCAACAACAATTTCATCACGTTCGTAACTTTCATAACTCATTTCGCTTACCCAAATTTCTGATTCTCTCAACAAATCGATATATATTAATATTGTATCAGCCAATATTGTCGATTAATTTAAATTCTTCACGATTTGGGCTGCAATGGCGGCTTGATGGAGATGTTGGAAATTTGAATTTTGAAAGATATGAATCTGTTACAGATTGTGATGGATTGATAACAATCACATATGCATGAATCGTGGGATATAAAATCAATTTTAGGTTAATTTTCCTAATAAAGCACAGCAACCAACTATTTTCCTTAAAAGGTGCTACTACCAGCTTTTGCAATATATCACATATAATGTATACAGATGAAACTTATGTATCCGGATGACTTCTATTTTAAGGGATTTTTGTAAAATAGAAAAAAGTAGGGATATAATGTAATTTAGATTTTACACTATGAAATTTATGTGCAATGCATAATATTTTGAATCCAATAAACCAAACACTCAATAAGATAACTAATCTCATCAAAATTAATGCTATCATAACTTGTATTCAAATAAAACGAGCCCTAAAGCTATTATTTTGAACCTAAGGGACCATTTTTGTCCGGCTGTAGAGGTTAGTTTTCCAAATTGTATTTCAGCTCTCTCCTTATCTCCCAACTTTCCCGGCGGAACTCTCTCAATGCAAATACTGGTAATTCTCTTCTTTAATCTTCTACTTGTTCTTCACTTAATGCTCAAAAAAATTGTTAAAGCGTTTGATTTTTCTAGTTTCCAATTATTTTTCGTGTAATCTTTCACTCATTTTTTGTGTTTCATTTGTTGTCAGTCAATTTAATACCTTTTGATTTTGAAATTTGTGGATGAATGAATGAATGTACTGTAGGATAAGATAAAGATGCAAAGAAAAGAATCAGATGAACGGCCGCCTGAGCTACCAATTTCGTGGGTTGAAATATCCAATTCAATTTCTCGTCAATACCAATTTCAACCTGATGGTAAGCTATCGGTAAGTTCTCCTTACTTTTTTTTTCTATTTTTGGCTAAAGATTTCCCCAATTTTATCTTCAATTCATCGTTTTAGTGTACTAGACATATTCCTTTTCAGTTTGCATTACATTGATTGTAGTACGTGTAACTTATTTGGCCAAGTTAATCGGAGAGAAAAGTGCTTATTTTAGAGAGTTGAGGTGTTTAACCTGGCTTTTAGGAAAAAAGCAAGTGCTTTTGAGTAGAAGTAGTTGTTTAACTTTTCCCCCGAAACACTTTTGGTAACTTAACCAAGAACGAATTAATGCTCTAACACACCTATTTCAAAATTTGACCGCACGGGAAAGCAGTTAATGGGATTGGGTTGGACGTGAGGGAGAAAAGTTTGGAAATTGAATTTTTTTCTTGTTCAACAGGTACCAAGTAAATTATTGTTACCATTCCCCGAAAAAGAAGAAGAAGGTACCAGGTAAATTTAACTATCAGTTAATTAAAAAAAATTGCACTCTGAAAAGAACTATCAAGTTCCGAAGATAAAAATTGTGTAAATGAGGATGTTGCGATGGATATTTGGACAAACTAGGAGAAATATAATTTGAAATGAATTTATTCGGGGCAAGGTGAGTGACTTCAGTGGAGGCCAAGATGCGGGAACTGAGACTGTGATGGTTCGAGCATGTGAAAAGGAGAAACACAGATGCCCAGTGCGGAGGTATGAGAGATTGACTATGGATAATTTTAGGAGAGATAGAGGTAGGCCGAAGAAGTATAGAGAATAGGTAATTAGACAGGACATGTTTCTGTTTTAGCTTATCAAGAACATGACCTTAGCTAGGAGTTTATGGAGGACATGAATTAGGATAGCATGTTAATAGGTAGTAAAGTGTTGTATAGGTTATCCTTCATACTTGTAGCCGTAGTATTACTGCTTAAGTTTCTATTTGTTGTTTCTTCTAATTTGTTTATCATATTATTTTATTGTAGTTTCTGTTCATAATGTTTTCTCATGCTTTTATAGTATTTTGTCATGGCTCCTTCACTGTCATTATTTCTTTTTTTCAAACTTCTTTGAATTGTTTTTCCTTGAGCCGGGGCTCTATTGGAAACAAGCATTCTGCCTCCAAGGTAGGCATAAGGTTTGTGTACACTCTACCCTCGACAATCTCTACTCTGTGGGATTACACTTGGTATGTTATTGTCATCTAATTGTGCTGCTCCTAAACTTCAAGTATACCTCGTATTTCCTGTTCTTACCTTTATGACCACTTGTGACAGATGTAGTTCAATAATGTAGGTAATACCTTGTACAAAGTATTGGCAATTAATAAAATTGTTAATTACCAACAAAAGATGTAGGTAATACCTTCATATATGTTTGAATCACCCAATAATTTTGTGCTTTGGCATTAACTTCTCCTTTAGCGCTTGGTTTCCCCCCTGCCATTTCTCTAGGTGACAGTCATTTTCTTGAGAGTTTATAAACATCTTTAGCATATAATTGGTATATATAATATCCAAGTGAATGTTATTCTATACTACTGTTAATTTTTCTTGATGCTTACATGTTTCACTGCATGTAGTATATACATTCTCATGTAGAGACTAGCCGCTCTGTACTACATTTTCCTTGTCATGTTAATACATCAAAAGTTCTTTCACTTGCTTCTCAAATAGGGATTTATTACGATGCACTATGTTTTCCATGTCATGTTAATATATCAAAAGTACATTGCTTGTTTTCCAAACAGAGACTTACTTCTATGACTCTTTACAGGTCAAGATGGTTGATGACTCAAGACCAGCTGCACAGAGATTGATGGAATCCTTTCTGAATAAATTTTTCCCATCTGGCTATCCATATAGGTGTGAATTTCTTGGAAATGATTTCCCAACAGTTTTAATTGGTCACAAGCTTCTTGAATATGTAATGTAAATATCTGCTCTTGATTGTTTCTGCAGTGTGAATGAGGGGTATATGAGATACACACAATTTCGAGCTCTACAACACTTTACAAGTGCAGCATTATCGGTTTTGTCGACTCAGGTCTTCTAACTCTGAAGCATCTCACTGCCTGCTAAACTTTATTTGACTTCATAAAACTTTTAAGAGTAAACTATCTTCAACAAGAGCATACACACACTATATTGATATATGCATTCTTGTTTGACATAGGATTTTGTTCTTAATGCATAAATACATGATAAATCCATTAAAATGATGATACTTCTGAATATTACTTCTTTGCAGTCACTACTATTTGCTGCAGGCTTGCGTCCTACCCCTGCTCAGGCAACTGCAGTGAGCTGGGTAAGCCTTTTGTCTAGTAGACAGATTAAACAAACGACTCCTTAAGTATTATGTCCAGTCCCCTTCCTTCTAAGGGAACTATTTTATGAATGTTTAGTTTATTTACAGATATTGAGAGATGGTATGCAGCATGTCGGAAAGCTCATATGTAGCAACTTAGGTGCAAGGATGGATTCTGAGCCTAAACGTTGGAGAATTTTAGGTTTATTCAATGTTCCTGAAGCACTGTCCTATGCTATGAATCTTCGTTATTTCTTTATAAATAAGAGTTGTTACTGCATAATTTGATTATATACTTGCATTCCTCTGTTTAACTGTACGGTAGGTTTTAAAATATACTAACTTTCTATGTTGCAGCTGATGTTCTGTATGACTTTGGGACTGGTTTAGAAGTTATGTCTCCTTTATGCCCGCATTTATTTCTTGAAGTTGCTGGCCTTGGCAATTTTGCAAAGGTAACTTTCCTCTGATTACTAATTTTAGAGGTTCACTGAACTTATGAATGACCCTGATTCAATGTTGTTTGAAGTATGTATTTCTTGTTACTCACTCTATTCCTCTGAAGACATGATTTTCCATTTTTTTGTTCCCAAAGCCTCCCGATTTTCCTTATCTAATAAAATAGCTTTCTTTGCAGCTTTTGTTTTTCTTTTCATTTTGCAGGAGAAAATACAAGAAAGGCAGATATTTTGACGAATTTAATTTTATCTACACCTTACACCATCAGTACCCTATATACTTGAAGTATAACAGAATTGAAATATTACTAAAGAGGAAGTTGGTATTTTCAGAAATTTGGGTACAAATTTTTGAACTACCAAAAGAGGGATTGTTAACGAATCACTCTAAGGTTTCAGTTTCTTTTATGATAATCTCCCTTGATGGAGTGATTTGTGATTTCTCCTTTTGGAGCATTAGTGGACACTCAATTGTTCTTTCTGTGAAAGATATATTTTTAAGTCTATTTGCATGAAAAATTTGGTATATTAGCTAAATCTTCAGTGATGTGATCTGTGAGAAATTTGTAGTCAGCAATGTTAATGAAGTTATTTTTCTTTGGAGTTATCAGGGAATGGCAGTTGTTGCAGCTAGAGCAACAAGATTGCCAATATATTCTTCATTTGCCAAAGAAGGCAATCTTAGTGATCTGTTTGCTAAAGGCGAGGCTATATCCACTCTTTTTAATGTTCTCGGGCTTGGAACAGGAATTCACTTAGCATCCACTATTTGTTCATCAATGCAGGGAAAGGTACTATTTTATTTACATTCAAGATATTACTGTACATTTGTTCTTTTCTGATTCAATCCATTTGCAGTGCTTCCAAATCATGTTTAAGCTAGGAGATCAAACTTTTATGCTACTATAAAATCCACTATGCAAAACCTGATCAATAAAATAAAATAAAATAAACTATGCAGAGATGTCGGTCTTACATCAGCGTAAAGTATACCTTGTTCTGCTGATGTATGTTTCTCTCTGTCGCTAGATAAATTTGTTTTCATTTGTTGTGCTTGTAAACCTTAAGCTGGTAAAAGTACAAGAAAATCATGTATCCCGAGATGTCCAGAATCATCTCCACTTGGAAGAAGCCACAGACAATCTTGGTATATTTGCTTTCCACGCCTTAACAGACAGGTTAACTGAAATAAGAGGAACTTCTGTTCCATTGGTCCTCAGCTTCTACTCCCTTGTTGAGCTCACTTTTTATAAAACCATGTTAATAAGACCATGTGGACTTTTGGTCCAATATCTTGTAGAGAATCCAAGGAAGTTGCTTCTCATTTGGATAAACATGCCGGTTTGCAGAGTTGAATTTGTTGTTCCAGTATATTATAGGGTCCTTTGTGATTCTGGTAGTATTGAATACCTGCAGTTGGTTGTTGCACCGTTGCTGTCTGTTATACACGTTTACAGTGTCTGTGAAGAAATGCGAGCTGCTCCTGTCAACACATTAAATCCGCAGAGAACTGCAATGATCGTGGCTGATTTTGTGAAGGTACATATCCAAAGTTGCAAATGTGAGTTAGATCGATTCACATCTCAATTAACCAAGTTTTTCTGCTATAATATTTTAGACTGGAAAAATCTCAAGTCCTGCTGACTTAAGATATCGGGAAGATCTCTTGTTTCCCGGAAGGCTGATAGAGGATGCTGGAAAGGTTAAGGTGGGAAGGTCCCTGCATGAAGTAGTTAGGCCTTCAAAGCTGCAACAATTTAAAGAAGCATTTCCAGAAGAGAAGTTCCTTTTAAATCATGGAAGTAGATGGACTGATATGATCCTGGAGCACAATGCAACCGGTGAAGATGCATTGAGGGGTTGGCTGGTTGCTGCTTATGCTTCGGATATGGAACAATTGGTTCATGAACCAAGTGCAAATATCTTGCAAGAGGCTTATGACAAAATGAATTCCACATTCTCCCCATTTTTAGCTGAGTTGCAAGCAAAAGGGTGGCATACAGATCGATTTCTTGATGGTACTGGAAATCGCTTTGCATTTTAGGTTTGTAAGATCTCAAATTCTTTGTACTTTGTTATCCTTTCCTAGTTATTAGAATACATGTAGGAGTTGGACAAAAACCTTTCATCCTCCAACGGTAGAATTTGAGAATAGCAACTCCATTTACTGCAAGCACGTCTCCAATATATGTTACTTCATTTGTTTCCGTTTATGTGCCATAGAATGAATTAAGAGGTCACCAAAAGTTTTATATGATTTTAAAAATATTTGAAGTTGTTAATGTTAATTATTGTGATTTATAGTAGTATTAAAGTAAATTTCAGAAGTTATATGTTACTCTATTTATTCCAATTTATGTTTTAAGATAATTTTCAAAAGATATATTTGATAACCAAAAAGTTTCTAGAGAGAAGACAGTTGTGGGCTTGCCACCATACAGACTTGCGCTAAACTACTACTATTAGGTAAACTAAGACAGTTGTGGGCTTGCCAAAATACAGACTTGCAGTTGAACTAGTACTAGACACAGCAGCTGGTCCTAAGACACTTCTATTTACCCATCTAACTGACACAACACTATGGGCATCAGCATTCAAAACATCCAACAGGGATGAAGGTGGATCCAAAAATGTGAGAAATAGTTAATAGCTGGATAATTTCAGTAGTATCCACATTAATTTCTAGAGGAGTAAGGTAAAATTCCAAAGCAAGTTGAAGAACAATATATCAATTCCACATGAAAAAACAGTCATAACATTTGCAGTAGCAGCAAAGCCAAGGATCCACATCCCATTGTGATCCCTGATTACTCCTCCAACATCTGCAATATTCGAGTTATCCCATCAGTATTTAGCATATAATGATGAGGCTGAGGTGGGTTCCATTTAACGTATAAGGGTGTGCGCATTCTAGAGGGCGTATTTGCCCCAACAAGGAACCAAAATTTAGCAGCTGGTTGGAAAACTTTTTTGTAATCAACAACAAATGGTTGATGTTCAAAAGTGTACTTAATCCATAGACTATGCAAGGAATATTTTTTGGGGCACAAAAGGTGTCCCTGAATGAGGTTCGATGCCGAAGAATAGTTGGAGCCATACTGCTGGATCATGATTAAAGTTAGCAAGATTTGGAATAATTTCCACTAGTCATAGTTCACTCCAAAGTGGAGCAGTCTTAGAACAGGTAAGGAGCAGACGGCTGATGGTCTCTTCCTCGTGTGCATCACACATTATACAAAGAGAAAAATTGGTACAGCCAATATGATTTAGGTGGAATGAAGTTGGTAATCTTCCATAATTCATGAGCAATTTAAGAAAGTGTTTTGGGCATAGACAGAATAGGCAGTTTCCAAATCCAAGAGAAGGTAGAGTTCATGGTTTGCGTATCCAGTAGAGAAAGATAGCAAGACCTAATAGAAGTTGAAATGGTGTAGCTTTTTACGTGTATAAGTGGTTCCCCAGTAGAAGTTGCGCTGATAGCGCCCCAACTTCTGGGCTATGTTGGCGGGGATTTTGATGAACTCCATAATATGATTTGGTAGAGTATTTAAGGTTGAGCGAATGACTGTTGCCCAACCCGCTGTCGACACGAATCGTGTTTTCGGCCAGCCAATAAGGCGAGTCTTGAAATTTTCTAGCAGGAATTGGAAATCAGCCTTGGTAAGTCTACCGGTGAAAATAGGAAAGCCCAAGTATTTTCTGAAACGAGTTCCTTCAGAGATATAAAAGGAGTTAAGAACCATAGTTTTGCACTCAACGGTAACATTTCTAGAGATTTTTTTTTTTTTGATTTAGATAAATTGATCTTTTGTCCCGATAGTTGACTAAACTGTGCCAGAATGGGGGTATCGAATCTGTTGAGGTCCTATCTATTTTTGGACATAAAATGATAACATCCGCAAAAAATAAATGAGAAGGTGGGGGACCTCTGGGGGCAAGAGTGATAGGGTCCAGTAACGCTGATCCACTTCCGAGCTAATACGACGAGATAATATCTCCATACAGAGGATAAAGATATATGGGGAAAGAGGATCCCCTTGCCGAACACCTCTAGTAGGTTGAAAGAATTTCGTATAAGAACCATTAAGGAGTATGGAAATGGAAGTAGAAGTTAGACAAGACATAATAAGTCAGATAAGATTTAGGAGAAATTGAAATAGATGAGTGTTTCTGTTGTGGATGCATTGGTATTTAATTATATTTTTAGTTGCTTTATTTATTATTCTAGAATAGGATTTATGTTTCATAGTTTCATAAGGATTAGGTTAAGTTATAGTTATTAGTTTGGAATAGGATTTGGGTCTCCTACTTTCATAAGAATTAGACTTCCTATTGATGTAATTAATAAAACTCCTATTTAAAGGGGCTTTTAATGAATAAATCAGTAAGTCATTTTCAGCAAAAAATAGGAGATTAGAGTTTTCTCTTCCATTGAACTCTAAGGCTTCAGTCTCCCTTTGAAGAGCTGAAGAGATCGGAGTTCTCTCTTTTAATGAACTCTAAGCTTTCAACCTTCCTTTAACGAGCTGATTTATATATAGCCCTGTGAATCGATCCTTAATTCCCTAAGGATTCATAACAATTTCCCTGATAAATGACCACTCAAGTCGATCAAAAGCTTTTCTAAATCATGTTTCATCAACATATATGAGGCCCTTTCATTAGTTCTATTAATGAAGTAAAAAATCTCTTGAACGATAATATCATTATATGATGCTCTTCTCCCCTTATAGATTGCATAGGCCCTATGATATCAAAAAGGAGATTCTTAAGACGACCAACAATTATTTTGGTAACTAGTTTATACATAGTATTACAAAGGCTAATCAGATGGTAGTTGCTAATCAAAGAGGGTGTCACGATCCAAAGTATACCCTAGTCATAAGATGGCGTACGAGAGGCCCTATACAAGCCATTTAGCATGCATCATACAAGATAATAAAAATAAAGATTTCAAAAGAAACAGTCTTATATCCTAAAAGAGTTTGACAAAGTGGAAGTGTAACATAAGCCTCAATAAGTCATCTACTATAGCGATAGAAGTGATTGGGACGTAACCCATGAAATAACGAAACCTATAAAAGTGTCTTGGTCCTCGGAACGTGAGGACTCACCAATCTTCAAAATCCCAAAAGGATCAACTAGCCACGAGTATGAGAGGTAGGAGCGTCAGACCTACATTATGAAATAATGTAGGCACAAGTATGCATTAATACATGGAATGTACTAAGTATGATAGCAATGCATAAAACTTATGAAATCATGCTAAAAGAACTTTATATGATATGCAATGACCAAGCTAAATCACAAGATAAAAGGTTAAAAACATAAGACATAATCATGGTCAATGCAAGCTTAAAATCTTTAAAACACTTGTGAGATACTTTAGGAAGTAACCTTAATTTATTATTGTGGGAAGTTTTTCATTAACCGACATAAACCATGTGAGCTATAACATGGAGTTTGATGAGTGGTAGACTTGCACTCATTTGAGGTCTATTTAGCTCAATAATTAGTATCATCAATGTCTAATTTTATCCTATTGTGATAAAATGTTGATGATTTGCATCTATGAAAGAAAGTGGACGAGACAAGGACAGATGTTTGAAAGAATGACCAAATATGCAAAAAAGAAGTGCAAACTATACATTGTTGATCACATAACAAGAAGGGCAGATAGCCAAGTGAGCACGACCTCACCCAAAAGGACAGTGCATAGCACTTGTGTCTATCAAATCAGGTCGTTGAACTCTATTGGAAAAGGCGATGCACCGAATGAGAAAAGCAACATTGTTGAACATCGCCTAAAATTATAGTGTAAAAAGAAAAGATTGAATGCTTGAAAGGCGAACCAAGGTGGTACTCGACGATTCACCAAATGTGAAAGGATAACTCAAACGAGTTCATCAGCTAAGGTTGAAACACCTAAAGCCTAGAGTATGAAATGGTGAGCTAAGGAGCAAGACGACATTCGCCGAACGAGCTCGACAAGCCTAACTAATGTCACTGAATGAGACGCGCATCAGGTTTTGGGCCAAATTTTGGGAAACTATAAATAGTCCTAAGGAGAGAGAAATAGATATGCAATTGTGTATCAAAGAATTAGTTCTGAAATAGATTTTAGAGAGAGAACACTTGACCAATTTGAAGAACACTTTCTCACATTTTATGATTTTTCAACTTTGCTTTTGAATTTAATAAATTGAAGTTGAATTGAAAGTGGGTTTACTTGTAATAGCTTAATTTCATGTCAACCATGTTTGCTTTCATGGAAGGTATACTTTCTTTACTTTTTGTGATGGGTGGCTAAAATCCCAAGATCTAAGGGTGCAATGATGGGGTTGAGTGTTGATTTAATGTAGTGGGCATTGTGTTATGCTTTATTTTGGTGTTGTCCATACATAAATTTGAGCTAATTAGCATAGATTTAATATATGGGTTAAGGTTGCAAACTTAATTCCTACTTTCGATCTCCGATCGATGCTCGAAAGAGATTGATTAGAGTGGATAATTAGTCTGATACTAACAATTTAGGTTTGATGTCTCTAACTTGCTTGAAAATAGAGGTTATGGGTTGGTTCTATTTGTCCTATTTCTAAAGAAATAATAGAGTAAGGTATTAAGTTGTTTGGTTTGGCATATAGATCAGGCCGAAAAAAGATTCTATGCATAAATGTTTTGATATCGAAAGATGATTAGCGTCATTGAAGATGACCTAACCTATTCATGAATGTTCATCACTATAGAGCAACACAATTCCCCCTACATGATATCGATTTCCAATCATTGCACCCCTAGATTGTTTGTTATCTCTTGATTCCTTTGGTATTTTTATTTTATTATGACAATTGATAGTCAAAGCTTTTTATTAAATAGGTAGAATCATCCACCTACCTATTCTCATTATTACAAATGAGCGATCTTAAAATCTCAATTTCTTGATAGAAACTCTCTACAATATATCATTCTGTATAGGATTTGACTCCGACTCTTTGTTGGGTATTTTTATTGACTATGACTGGTGTCCCTTTTATTTGGTTTTAAGGAGGTCATTTTAGCGTTATCAAAAATGGCGTTGCTGCTGGGGAATGGTGGTTGAGAATTCTAATTGAGAAATTAGATTTTAATTTTGTTTAGTTTTAGTGGATTGTTGTTTTGTGTTGTTGTTGGCTGATTTGTAGGTTTTATACATTGCTTAACCATGATA